ATCTATAAATACCTAGCTTAGTAAATCTATTAATGTGTAAATAATAATATAGCAGTTATAATAAAAAGAGCGCCACATGCGCCCCATGATGATATCATCTGGGATAGTTAAAAAAAAAAAAAAAAACATCAAAGTTGTCAAATTTGATTGATAAATTATCACATGATTTGCCTCTATTCTAGATGACCTCAATTTGGCCACCCAAATTTTACTTGTCAGTTTAAGATGTTCCACACTGTAGTAGATACAGATTTAGGTGTCATATAGGTAACCAGTAGAGTAAAAATTAAAATAGCCAATATATGTAACCATAAATTGTACTATATAAAATTTAGAATCTAATAAATCAACTGACTGTGTTATCAAGTTATATAAAAAAAAATAACTACCATAAACATTAACCTTAACAAAAACAAAAAAAATTTGCAAGTTTATACAATAAGGTTACATCAAGGTACTTGTATAGTAATACAAAAATACTTAATTGTGATTAGTTAATTTAAAATATATTAAAAAATTTTCAATTTTTTAATTTTTTTTTAAAAAAATTAACCAACTTTGAGATTTTTTTAAACAATTAATTTTTTTTTATAAATATGTTCTATAAATCTTCAAATATTAATTATATTTATTTAATTGTAAGTTAACACATAAAATTTTGTATAATTACATTTTAATTCAAATGTATCAGGTTGGTGTATCATGCTTAATGATACGACCAATATATCCTGATTAATGTTTTATTATAAAAACATAGTAAAACATAGTAATTTAAATCCGGATTTATTTTATATCCGGATATATATTATAATAAAATCATATTAAATTCGGAGTGAAGTATTAACTCTATCTACAAATTATACGTATCCATGCTTATACACTAAATTTTTTTGTCTATCTACACTGTATTAAAGTTTATTTTTCCAAAGATTTAGTTATTACGTTATTAATATAGCAATGAGTTTTATCGTCGCTCGTAAATGTAACCGTAATTCGAAAGCTAACATAACCCTAGTTCACTATTGGATATTTCCCAAACAAATGATGACACGCCACATTTTAAGATCATATTTACTTGGATCTGGTCATCCGTTTTCATATTAAATTTAACGGATACGTATTACTATTAAACTTGTATCCAACGGATAACCGGACCCAAGCTCTAGCGATAGGCATACAGTATAATTACCCAATCAAATTATAATAAATATTTAGCTCTGATTACATAATGTAGTGCATTTATCTAGTACTGTAGTAAAACATTTGAACACATTACTTGAACTTTTGAAATAAGCAATTACTGTTGAATAAATAAAGGTTAGTATGAACTGAGAAAAAACAATGTCAACAAAATTAAAGTTCAGGTAATAAACAAGATAATTAAATTGACAAATATATTTACATGAAATTTGATAAAACTTGCTGAACAACGTTAACATATATCAAAACCGATGATAATCTAATTCAAATACGTATAAACGGTCATGTAAATAAAATTTTGCTCGGCTTACACATAATCGTGTATTACGAGAAACCACAAATTATACAATCCTTAAAACTAGACAGTGCTACATAAAGGTTGGCAAGTATTCCTCGATATACCATTTTCAGCAGAAACTGCTATTGTATATGCATTGTGACCAACGTGTAGGATTTGTAAGATACTAAGGTACTAGGCGTACAGAATATTTTGATACTGATGTTGGCTACACCAAGGCTGGCGAACAATAATAGTACTGCATCTGGTCCGTTAGTATTGTACACTCGGATACACAAATTAATCAAGTAAGATTCCGTATAGGGCAAAATCTCATTAATGTATTCCAAAATTACAATAAAACAGACAAGTTAGGTTTATCTCAAATTTGGCCAAAAAGTGCAGAACTTTAATAATTTAAATACAGCTTTTGCAATGTAAACTTTGCCATTATACATATGATGATATGACGACATTACAGTGGTATATATCGATATATATATATAAAGAAGCCAGTGTTAGCCAGTGTCGCACCAATCGGAGATCTGATTGAAATTTGCGTATAAATTAACCAGTAAAATTCGCATTTTTTATTTTTTATTTGGCTACATATTGCTAAGATCACAAAATGTGTGTTTAATAGTAGCACGGCAGCAACTCTTTATATTGAATGGTTTTGTTTATTTCTGGACGGAAAGAAACGTTTTTTTTCTATTTCAATGTTCCGTTAATTTTTGATAGTAATCACTCTTTTGTTACTATTTGTCCGTTAGGCCATTTTTTAAGTTGTAAATTTATTCATCTTATGCAATCAAAAAACTTTCATAATTCCCGTTTTTACATATTGCATACTTTCTTTTTCACTATCGCAAGATTTGGCCCTGCTTTCTAACGCTTATTTCATTCCTTTTTTTTATGATAAAAAAAAAAATTTAAATCTCATTCTTTTTAGATGAAAATAATAAAACTTTTTTATCTTAGTATATAAAAACGCACATATTAAAAAATTAATTACAATAAAATTTAATCGATATGAACGGCGATATTAAACTAATACTTTCTTTGATCGGTAAAGTTAGCCGCAAGGTTAGCATTAGATTTATATAGATAGTAAAGTTTTTTTTACCATTATACTGATTTGTCCGTATTCTTTTTTTTTTTTTTGATCCAATTGTTTGAATCGTAAAGTTACCGTGTAACAGTGGTAGAAAACTAGAAATCTTAGAGCAAGATCCACTTATCTTGCAGACTGTTAATTCTATTGTAGAATTATCCCGATTTAAACTTGGTACAATAGCAAATAATCTTACTCAGCTTTTGGAAGGTGTTTCGCAGGTAATGGAATAATAAAGTTTTTATGTTCTTTTTCCAAACATAACATTTAGTTTAATCCTTTCGTTATCTTTGATTTTGTTTGTTTTAGAATACAACGGCGATAACGGCTATAATATCCGACCTCCCCGCAGAAGTTTTACAATCCCAATTATTTATTTTAAAAATCCTATCTGCTTGTACTACTCACCATTGGAAATTTTACCGAGGAACTTTACAAAAGGAATTGGATGCATTGTCAAAAAACTCTCCAGAAACTTCTCCAACCTCTCCAACTGTAAATAATGAAATTCCATCCGTAACTAATGATCAACAGCCTGCACCTCCTACTTCTAACTATAATGGCAATGCAAGAAGGTTCAGACCCCCAAGATCTTGGGACGATCCGCCACAGCTAGAAGAAGCTTTGGCAACTTACATTTTAAACGTTTTATCTAAATTTCTTCATTTAATGGCTAATCACGATGATAGTATCCCTAGTAGTGGACCTGCGAGTGTGGGTGCTACTGCTGATATTATTAGTGAGATTTATAAAAACGCTGGGAGAGTTATTTTTTATATCAGCGCTTCAAATTGGAGCGTGGTTTTTTCGAGAATTAGAAATAGAATTTCCCATTTAGCTGCCGCTGGTGATAATTTGGCTGAAACTGCTGAGTTGAGATTGTTGGAAGTCTCTGATCTTAATTCAATAAGATTATCTATGGTATTACAAGGTATCTTTATCAATTTTATTTTATAAATTCTTTGTGTATATTATTTAGATTGCATGTTTATTAAACTTTTACATAGAATTATGTGATTCTATAAGCACTTTGAGAAAACCTGCCCAAATGGTAATGGCCACTGTACTTCGTAAAGCTATTTGGAATTGGATAGAAGTTTTTCCAGCTGAGTTTGTTACTTTGTGTCAAACTCAAAGACGAATGGGTGGCAATCCTGAGAGACTTTTTGAGATCTGTAATACTTTAGTCGCCAATAACTTCCCCAATAGCTGTAAAGCATTCTGGCCATTGCAAACTATGTTGTTGATTTTATGCCCCGATCTTTTGTTTAGTGCTGCAATGCATGATAAAACCTCTAATACAAACAGAAAGGTATGTTGATTTTTAAATAATGCCAAAACAAATAAAATGTCTTTAAAAAATATTGTAATAATTTTATTAAATGTTTTTGTTTAATTTATGTATAGACCCAGAACCAGTTTTTGGAGAGACTAAAAAATGCATTAAGGAACAATACTAGAGGTCAAAGAGGATTAGCTGATATAGCTGCAATATGTTATGTTGATATTTGTAAAGCATCCACTTATGTCAATTATAGTGATTCATCGACTCTTCGGTCGATAGTTCCGGACATAGAAGATGAGTTGAAGGTTCGTTTTATGCACTTCTTATATAATGTTCGATTTTATAATTTATAACTAATCATTTTTATTAAATATATTAAATAGTCCAAATTATTTAATCCGGCATGCCCATTTCCAAATGAGAATAGAGTGGATCATAGACTTATGACCGATTGTCTAACTGCTTTATTTAGGCTTAACCCCCGAAAAACTCAGGAATCTTTAATTTCGCTATGTTTACAAGATAATGCACCTAGTGCTTTTAAGTTGGTGCTTGTTAAGAGTTGCAATTCTATTGCTTCAGAGGTACATATATAAAATTATGTTGATTTTAAGATATTATAATAATTATTGTGGCAGCATATACTGGAATTTGTTTATACTGAGATTTGCTTTTGCTGGAATTTGCTTATGCTGAGATTCTTATGCTGGGATGTGGGGTCCTCATTTAAATTTATAATAATCTTTTTTAAAAAAAGTCAAGAAAAGTTTTTAAAAATTAAAAAATTTTATATTAAAATGATTAAAAACCTTGATATAAGCAAATGCAGCTTAAATTACCAATTATTTATTGGATTATTTATTGAACCCTCTTTTTTTCAAAAAAAGGAAAATAGGCTTCCATGGAATTTACAATTTTCATCAATGCGCCCAATATTAGCAGGGCCTTTTCGCAAGCTGTTTCAAGATATTATGTCAAATGGAGACAAGCCAGTTTGGAATCGGTATAAAGCTGAAAAAACCGAAATTATTCTTAATCTTTTGAGGTTATATCGAACAGATCCTAAGCTCGCTATTGTGGTTGGTTAAATTTTTTTCCTATAATTTTTATAGTATATTAATGTAATTATATTTTTTTCAATCATTAATACTTATTTTTAATAGGGTAAAGAATCTCAAGATCATTCAAAGGATAATCAATCAATAATTCTTGCTATCAATGATTGTTTGAATGATCCAAATGTTGCTATTCGAACAGCCGCGGCTGAGACTTTACTGGAATTTCATAATGTGGAGCTTATTGAACTCTGGGGATCTCCGGATAATAAGATGCAACTATTTTGGCCTATAAGGTATAAGAAGTGTCATAATATTTATGAAAAATTTATAATTGTACACGGGGTGTATGGTACACGGGTATTACCGCGCTTTTCAAATTACTGTGATCAGCAAATTTCATTCATCATACCGGAATCAGGAATCTAGAAAAAATACCAATATATAATTGGTTAAAAATTAATCAAATCATTTTTAGCCAATCATAGGTTGGGATTTTTTTGCTTATCACAGTAATTTTAAAGGTGCAGCCAAA